GTTTATTTAATCTAATTGATAAGCTTTATAATAGTTAAATAAAAGTTGTATATTATAGAATAATATTTTGGAATATTGTTGTATACAAACAAGATTCTAATATAATATAATTAGAAATTGTATATATTTCTGAGAATAGTATACTGAATAAAATATAAATCCATAATTATTATATTAAACATTTCTTAAGGTTCCTTAATTGGATTCTTTTCGATATAATTCTTGAAAATAATTCTATTTCATTTAAGAAGTATATTCTACTAATATTCAGATTTTTCGAAATTATTAATCATCATTTCGTATACACCATTATATATCTTAAAAAAAATATTAAGATTAACTTAATAAAAGTCTTTAACTATATTTAAAAGTATAATCGGAAAAGCTATTAAAGTTATTTCGATTAATATAAATACTCTATAATAATATTTTGCAAATATAAAGATTTTCAATTAAAAAGAATTATTGATATTCTTATATTTATTATTATCTTTATAGATCTTAAAAAGATTAATAAAGCAATAACTCTAATTGTATTAATTATCTTTCTAGCAATTGGAATAATCAAAATAATCCCTATTTCTATTACTTTTATTATTATTTCTATTATTATTTCTATTATCACTTTTACTACTTCTATTATTATTATTATTTCGGCCACTATCTCTATTACTATTATTATTATCTAAATTGTTATTATTATTAGATAATTCTATAGAAGTATTAATCAATAGAATTTTAGAATCTAATAAAGATATATTTTATATATCCTTAGATTGGAATAAAGATTAGAATAAAATTAGTCCTTTTATTATATTAAAAAAAGAATTGATATAATTTTATTAGATTTTAATAAAATTAATTGATTAATTGTATTATTATTTTTAAATTCGGGAGGTTCGGCTTGTGGTCTCGGATTGAATCTAATAAAGAGATAAGCTTATTTTATTAATACAAATAATTATATTTCAATAGATTGATATTTTAGAAATTGATTTATAATTTAATTGTAATATTTATTATAATCAAATATTTCTATAAGAGTATTCTCAATATTTGTATTAATATTAATGTAAACTTTATAATATTATAGAATTATATAAAAGTTATATAATATCAATTTATTAATATTCTTTAATATATCTTTATAAGTATAATCGAAATCGAATATAATTGTATTCTGAAGAGATATATTAGTAATTCCTATATCCGAATATGTAGTTTTTCTAAAAAAAAAAGTATTTATTAATATAATACTTTATTTCTAATCTGAATGTATATTCTTTATAAAACTACTTAGCTTTATTGAGATTCTTTAAAAAAATATAATTCTGAAATTCTTTTTTAAATTCTAAATTCTTAATTTTTTAAACTTTTCTTTTTTTAATTAATATTTTATTAAAAGGAATATAAGGGTTAAAGAAAACAATAAAATGAGAATAAGAAGGAATATTGATTAGATTTAGATTTCTGTAGAGGGAAGTACTGAAATCTGTTTATAGAAAATCAGTATTATTAATCATTGTATTGATATATTTTCCTATATTAATAGATTGATTGGATAAAATCGGTTTTTTACTAATATCAGATTTCTTATCAACTTTGGGTTTCTTACTGGTTTGTTTAAAGCTAGTGCTAGTGCTTGCCCAGGATGTCATAATGGAAGTAAGAGTAAAAAGGTATTTCGAATAAATAAATAATTTGTGATATTACTAATTAATATTAATTTAAAAGAAAGATACGGAAGATGTGGTTCCCATTATATGTAGACCCCTAAATATCTATTTATATTCAATCTAAGGAGTTAGCTAAATGAGGGAAATAGTAGACCTTATATAGGTACTACTAAAAAAACTAGTCTCCTTTACTTTCACCTAATAACCTTAATACAATTGCCTTTGTATTGAAGTGAATCCTTTGAAGTGAATTCCTTTAAATGAATTCCCTTGTCCACACACTGGTAGATAGGAGGTAGGTAGGAGGCTGAGGGAGATAGATAAATTATAGAGTAGAGCTTACTTTATTACTTCGTAGTAGATATGAGATGATATTTACTAGATAGATACTAGATAGATACTAGACTAGATACCTAGTAGATAGCTCTCGGATATCGATTACGCTTATAAGTTAAGCTTATAGATTTAATATTATATATATATATCAATATTAATACGAAAAGAGGAAAAAGAAATTATTTATATATTCTCACTTTCTACTAACTTATTAATCTATCGAGATATTAATTATTAATTAAAATTCTATTCTTTTCTCTATTAATAATTATACGAACTTATAGAATAATATAATCGTAAAGTATAATTTTATATTAAAGAGTTATTTTAATGATTTAATTGAGATTCGAAAGTTAATTTTATATTATTTAATTTGATAGATCATGTTTTTTAATATTAAAAAAACTTTTTGAAAATTATTTAGAAAAAATGGATTTCAAAAACGAATAATATTCTTTCTTATAGAAAATTTTATATTCTATTATCAAAACTTTAATTTTGAGAAAATTTACTCAACAGTTGTATTTTAATTAAATCATCGAAACTACTCTTTTAATATAAAATTATATTTTTCTCTTAAGTATCTTATAAGTTCGTATATTTACTTATACTCTACTATTTATTATTTCTTCTCTCTCTCTCTCTTTCTCTTATATTTTATCTACTCTCTTTCGTTTTAGAGCGCCTTTTTTGGATTTTTGGATTAATAGAGTAATTATCCCCTAAGGTGCCAGCTTCGGGCGCCCTCGCTTAACAGGGTCTTATTAACCAATCAAAACATTAGAATTCTGAGAATTCTCATAATTTCAATATGTTTTTTTGACTTAACTATTATATGTTTTGAAATTTAATAAATATAAATAGTATAATCTTTATATTTATATAAAACCTTATATATATCTTTATTTTATAAATAAATATTGAGTTTTTGATTCAATAATGTTTTTAATTATAAATTATATTAAAATTGTTTATAATGATTATCTATTTTAGAATATAAAGTATAATAATATTTATAAAATCTTCCACCAATTCTTTTTCAATAAAAAAGTTTTTGAAATATATTTGATTTATTTATTATTACTTTTCTTATAAATTTCAATCTTTAAATATAATATAAGGACCTTTATTTATAATATTATCTTCGAAAATATTGATGTTCTTATTCAATGCACGGGCCACATCGGGCGCCCGAAGCTGGCACCTTAGGGGATAATATTATAGTATTGATCTTGATCTTGATTATTTAAGTAGGTATATTAGGTTATCAAGCTTTCGTATTATATCTTTTATTTACACGATTAATTTAAGTTAATTGAGAAATAAGGTTCGAGTAGCTTGGACTTCGATTACGAAGATGGTTGGATCTTGATCTGCGGGAGATAATAGGGTGGTTCGTATTACTATTGTGTTTGTTGTATGTATATCTAGTACTCGTGCGCCGTTGATGTTGTATGTTGTATGTATGTATGTATGTATATCTAATCTCTTTTGATATGAAATATATGGTTTGTGAAAGGGATGTTTGTAGATTAGATTAATTATAGGTTATGTATATTGCGAGAATTATCAGTATATAAGGATTGCATGGATTTACTAGGGAGCTATGTCTGCACATCTAGATCGTCTGATGATGATGATTGGAGCTTGGATATATCGTAGTGTAGTGTAGTGGCATCAATCAATAGTATACAGGATAGAGGTAACTTGTTGTGGTTACGAGTCTTTGGATCGGCTGGGGACTAGGGAAAAGTCTTGACCTCATTGAAAGTTGTGCACGTGGGTGTGTACTGGTGATGGTGATGGGATGGTGATGGGATGGTGATGGTAATGGTGCCAGTGAGTCTATTTTCTTTTGATGTGAATAAATGATTTTTGAGTCTGGAGTAGGCACTAGATAGGTAGGAAGAGAGAAAGGTATAGGAATCAACGAGGAAGAGAGGAAAGAAGAAGATAATCAACTCAACCTGAATATTAAGGTATCCAACACTCGCTCATACCACTTACTAGTTACCTAGTACATACTAGATACTAGATTGGTTTACAACTCATCATCAGTAGCATCGGTACTCGGGAAAGGATGTCTGTCAACGTACAAGACATTAAAGTTTTACATTCTCGATGGAAATGTCACTGCACTTTCCTATTCTCGGTATGAGATTTAACCTTACCATTTTACGATCTGGCAACTGATTTAGCTATTTCGACACACCTGGCATTTTACGGGTACCTTACATTCCACTCCCTTTCCCTTTTCGATCTTCTCTTCCCTTTCCTACCTAGTAGGTAGGAGGTATTTCTCTACACTCTCTTATCATAGAAAGGGTCCCTCGACACAATTATTACATGTCGACCTTGGTAGTATCGATCAAGTATCTACGAGGGACCTAGTTTGTGGGATATAATCTTACCATCTACCTCCCGCCTCCCTAGTACCTTCTTCTCAAATCTTTGATTGCCGTATCCGGAGAAATGGTTTGCATATGCAATGCAAATCCATGAATAATAGATAGAGAATCCGGCACGAGTATACTCGTACCTACTAGGTACCTACTTAAGGATTCAAAACAACACCAATGACAATTCCATCTTCCATTTCAATTCCTCTTTTCTCCTCACTCTCCATCTTTAAAGCTCTTCTTAACAACCTTGGAACCTCTCATTCATCTCCATCTCCATCTCCATCTTTTAATTCACTTGACCGTGGACTGACGGACTGACGGACTGACTGATTGACTGTATGTTTTATCTTTTTTGACTCTTTGTTTTACTTCCTTCCTTGGTTCCAACTACTTTCACCTTTTCTTCCTATCAAGGTTACGTTACTACCTTATTAGTGCCTAGTAGCTACCCGTTACCTCACCCTTACTCATTTCTTTTTCCTTTCCCTTACATCATTCGTACAACCTCGTGTGCATCTCAATACTCAACCACAACATCCCTCTCTCTCACTCTCCTTACAAATTATCGTTGGGCCCAACCCATACGATGGAATCAATCATTCTCCCTTCGCCGGGTCTTCACGATGTAATTGAAACCTTGCAACAAGATGCTCCCGATAAATCAAATGTAACCATCAATCGAGCTCGATTGGCTTCATTTTCAACAACTCGAGATTCGAGTATCTCATGGGGTCGACGACATCATCATGGTTCTTGGCTACATTCCTTGGGATGTGCGAGCATCATGCTGCTCTGTCCAATCATTGTCATATTCTACTGGATTGCACTTTCACGCTTTGAAGGATCTCTAACTTCAGCGTACAAATCCATGGCCATGGTTGGACCCATCAATTTCCTATGGCAACATGCACCTCGAGGAAATTTGAGAACGAATGTTGGTTATGGAACGTGGTTGTTATTCCAAGCCCTCCTGTACCAATTTTTACCTACCCAATTGAGTACGGGTCAACTCACGCCAGCTGGAAATCTTCTTAAATATCGTACAAATGGTCTTTCAGCTTGGTTTGTCACTCACGCTTTGTTCCTCATCTCGTCGTATTGTGGACTCTTGGATCCAGCAATTCTCGCAAAACACTGGCAAGCGTTATTGGTCTCGGTGAATGTTTATGGGTTCCTATTATCCGGATTTGCTTATTTGAAAGCTCACATGTGTCCCACTCATGAAGGCGATCGAAAATTCAGTGGTAAGTTGGGGTTGATGGGATGAGTTTTGTGTAATTTGATACTGACACGTGACAGGATCCGTCTTGTACGATTTGTACATGGGAATCGAATTAAATCCTAGATTCGGAAATCATTTCGACTTCAAATTATTCCACAATGGGCGACCTGGGATAATTGCCTGGACTCTGATGTATGTCAAACTCGAATTTTCTTGGTCATGTGTTTAATTTGCACTTTCCACTTGCACTCCAGCCTATGTCATTCTCTAATTCTCGATATAGTGACATGTCCTTCATCGCGTATCAGTATCAAAACTACGGATATATCACCAATTCCATTATTCTTAGCACTTTTCTACACGGTCTCTACGTTGTGGACTTCTTTATCAACGAAGATTGGTACCTTCGAACCATCGATATCTGTCATGACCACTTTGGTTTCTATCTCGCATGGGGATCCATTGTTTGGTTGCCATCCATGTATACCCTTCAGACTCAATATCTTTCAAGATATCCTCACTCTCTATCACCTCTTAGCGCCGTGATGTTGTTTACCTCAGGTGTCAGTGGTTACATCATTTTCCGAAGCGTCAATCACCAAAAGGATCTCGCTCGTCGCACCAAAGGTAATTGTCAACTTTGGGGTGCTCCAGCAGATGTTTTACACGTCAAATATCGAACTAAAGATGGCAAAGAACATGATAGCATTCTTCTTTGCTCTGGTTGGTGGGGTATGGCGAGACATGTCAATTATTTGGGCGACCTCATCCTTTCTTATTCCATGTGTGCAGCTTGTGGTACACATAATTTGTTACCATGGACATATGCAATTTTCATGACGATTCTGTTAATTCATCGCTGCTGGCGGGATGAGGAGAGATGCTCAAAGAAATATGGGAAGGGGTGGGAAGCTTATTGTCAGAAAGTGAGGTGGGTTATCTTGCCAGGTATTTATTAGATGGCGAGAGACAGGTGCGGGGGTGTCAAAAGTTGGAGCGATAGGGCATGAGAATTATATGGCTAGAAGTGAATCATTTTGGGTCACAAGTATGAAGTGGTAATGGTGGAAGATAGCATTACAAAAAATACCAGTGGTACACGATGGAAGAAGATCAATAGACGGAGCTCGAGTGTGGATACGGAGGGGAGGTGGTAATTAAACGAAATTCCTAGATTAATCGAACTGGAGGCGGATATGAAAGTCATTGATGGATGGATGGGCTGAATTAAACGGAGAGATGGATGCAGGCTGAGCAACGAAAATAGATCCTAGACAAACAGAACAGAATAATAAATATAGATTGTAAACCCACTGAATCAGTTTCACGAATATTTGAGCAATGAATAGATAGATGTAAAGATTCCAATATGCTAAGAGATTGTTCAATCTTATGGAAGGAAAAAAGATTAGGTTTCTAGGAGAATGGGTTTAATTAGAGAGATATGAGACGGTAGTTCAGTAGTGATGGTGATTGTTTGTTGTTCATTGTTCTTTGCTGATAGTTGTATCGTAAGATTACATATAACATGATATTTTTGCTTTTTCACAGGAGGTGAGAGGGGGGATGGAGAAGAGTGTTGTTTTGGTGTTTTTGTTTTTGTTTTTGGTGTTTTTGTTTTGTTTGGGGGATAGGGAGAGGGAGAGGGAGAGAGGGAGAGAGGGAGAGAGGGAGAGAGGGAGAGAGGGAGAGAGGGAGAGAGGAGAGAGGGAGAGAGGGAGAGAGGGAGAGAGGGAGAGAGGAGAGAGGGAGAGAGGGAGAGAGGGAGAGAGGGAGAGAGGGAGAGAGGGAGAGAGGGAGAGAGGGAGAGGAAGGTGGTAATTGTATAGAGGGATGGATGTATTTGGTTTTGAGAAGGGGATGGAGCGGGATGAGGCATAGGAAGAGACCCAAGGGGATAGCTGCAAGGTCAAGAGATTGTGAGATAGTCTTTTTCTGAGGAGGATGGAGGAGGAGGATGTGGGAGGAAGAGGGGGGGGAAGTAAGTGAGGCTTTTTTTTCAAGAAAGGAGGTGGATGGATGGATTATGTTGTATTGTATTATATTATATTAGTTTATATTAGTTTATAGTATATTGTAGAGGTTTGATAGGGTGATGATTATGATATTGGAATTGTGATATGGTATAGAGGAGGAGAATAGGATGGGGTAGGAGATGATAGGGTTGAGTTGGTGATGATGGGCTTCGGGTTGTGAAATTGGAATTGTGATAAGGTTGGTGATGATGGGGTTGGGATTGTGATGTGGAGGCTAGGTTGGATTGGGGGAATTGTGTTGTTATATTGTTGTGTATAGAAGGAAGGTGGAGTGGAGTGGGAGATGATGAAGGTTGGAGATGATGAAGGTTGGAGATGATGAAGGTTGGAGATAATGAAGGTCGGAGATGATGAAGGTTGGAGATGATGAAGGTTGGAGATGATAGAGGTGGATAATGGATGGGAAGGGTTGGAAGGGTTGGATGGTGGAAGGGAATGGATGGGAAATGGATAGTGGAAGGGAATGGAAGAGAATGGATGGGAGGGGTTGGATGGGAAAGAAATAAAAGGATGAGGTTTTGGAGGATGTGTAGTGAATATATAGTAAATGTTGTATAGTAAGATAAATACAGATGGGGGACTTGAGTTTGAATTCGGGAGTTGAATTGTGGGAAACAGTAAGTAGAAAGTAGGAAGTAGAAAGTTGGTGCAATGATGACTACAATGTATATATCTAATATATAATTATCTGGACTTTTTGAAATCGAAATGGAATAGATTTTCGTAAATGCTTTGAATGGGATGGGATGGGATGGTATAGAGAGAGATATTAGAGTTTAGGATGGATGGGGTTGGAGATTGGAGATTGAGATGAGATTGAAAGGGATGTTGAGATTAAGAGAGTTTTTGAATTAAGAAATGGAATGAATGATGGGAAATAGAGATATGTATAGAGATACCCATAGAGATTAAGATAAAGATAGAGATAAAACTTGAACCTTAAATCTTGAAATAAATAAGTGGAGGTTAGTTGGTGAGTTGATAGTAGTAATGATGAGCTGTAGATATTGATGTTTGTGTGAGTGTGAGTTGTGGGTGTGGGTGTTTTGTTTGCTGATAGATTGGTTCAAGAGAGTGTTATTGTTGTGATTTGGAGAAAACTGGATGATTATGTATGTATGTAATTTACTGGATGGTTGAATTGGATATTAATGACTTTTTTGGAGGGGGGGGATTGAGGATTGAGAATTGAATCTGTTTTTTAATTTATAATTATACATTTTACTTTTTGAAGAAAATAAATAAAACATTGAAGAGAAGATTGATTGGTAAATGTAAGTTTGTCTTTTATACTTTCCTCCTCTCCTTTTTACCCATATGTATGGTGTATATGAGGGATGGTAGCAGTTGGTTTGCTCGAGTTGCTTTGATACTAATCTTGTTATTGACCAGAATCATGTACAGATATTTGCGCGAGATCTATATTCTGAGGTTGGAGGGTTTGCTGAATTGTTTTCGTGGGAGGGGATGTGTCGCGGTGAGGATTGAAATGGGGATGGGGCTGGGGATGTATGGTGTGTGCACTGTGTAGTTGATCATGATGATTTAGAAGGAATAGAAGAAATAGAGCATGACGGGCAGAATGCCGTGTGATGACGGCTTTTGGAATGCTGATATTGGGGTTTAGTTTGAGTTTGGATTATCTATCCATGCGTTATTATACTATCTTCAAGATCGGATAAAAAATCAAAATTGAAGCCCATTATTTGATGGTGTGAGAACAAGCGATTAGAGGACAAGTAAATGGATGATGTGTGAAGACTTGCTGTATTTTCTTTTCTGCACTCATGGATTGAGATTGAATGAGATGTGAGGTTTTTGAAGATTTCAAATGCTTTGCTTGTATGAGAAAAATGGAATGAGAGCTAGAAAGGAAGAAAACGAAGAGAGGAGGAAGGAAAGGGAAACTCTGAAATATGAGGGATTTGAGGAGATAGACAATTTGAATTTGTTTTTAGTCTTGATATAGGTATTGGGAATATTGGTGGTGAATCTATAGATGTGTACTCAGATTTCACGCGTAAAAGAGAAAGGGGGGAAGTAGACCTCCACCGCCACAGTAGGTGCGCGGCATATCATACATTGATAAATCGTAGATTGGAATCGAAACAATATGATACTACTTATCTTTGAATATATAGATATCATAAGCTATAAGTGTTGGACAGAATGGAATCTTACTATGGAAAACTCAGAGAGTATTTGGGGGAAGTGGGATTTTATGATTCTTCCTTTATATTTACTTTGTTCAAATGAAAATACTCAGGCGTATCGCATCTTCAGCTTAGCATTAGCTTTAGATAGACTGAATTGATTGAGAATTTACTACTGCCACTCAAGTTTCTTCATGGAAATAAACTTGAAAAGTGTTTGCAAAAGCAAACGCTGTATTGATTTTGAGGGGAGAGGAAGCGTTGCATGAGCTGAGAGCATTTTATAGGATTTAAAGCAAGTCACTCTTCTCTCCTTTTCCGATCGATTATCCGATTCTTACACTTCGACGATTGATTAGAATGCTCCAGAATCAAACGTCAAGACCAGACGAGAAAAGAAATTCTTCAAAACCACATCTGAACCAAGTGGCAGGGTCCAAAGATACAGGGAAACAAAAGTCGCGGAACTATACTTTCCGACGGCACCCTGCGCGAAAAATTGCAAAAGAAATTCATCAACAGCATATCAAAACAATGGCTGTGTGTACTTCGGAAATTGTATCATGCAGGTTTGTATGAGATATTCTGATATATGCATGTAACCCATCGATCAATTCATCTACACTTGCAGATTCTCAGTGGAAGTTATAGATTTTTCTGGGGGTAAAGTCACTGGCTAGACCTTTCCCATGCAAATATTGTTGAGGGGTTGAAATTCTTTTCCCATGAGGTTGTATTGTGAAAAGAAAGCTTGTTGTGAGAAAAATCCCTCGGATATCCATGCTAAAATGACTAATCACTTAGCTCAACGATAAGCAAAAATCATCTGCTCATAATGAACTCGAAGCATTCGTTTTTCTTCTTCGTCAGAATGGGATCAGACCACAAAGATTGATCTCATCTTCACACATTGTATTGCCAAGATTCCATGAACTCCCAAGATACATTTGCGCGAGAGGTTCGTGCAAGGGATACCTACCACCTCCTTGGTCGAGCATTTATCATTCTCCATTGTCTCTGAGTTAGCGAACGATCCCTTTTTGTCAAATTATCGCCACTGGCAAGAAGCGCGTCTCTCGCCAATCAAGGAAGAAAATGTCTTGCTTTTAACGGGGAAGTCTTCCGTCACCTCCCTGTTGATAAATCTGTACAATGCGGATCGGCATAAAATGATGTGAATCTACTGCGCTCAATATGTACTCCTTACGCAGGTCCGATTTTTCCCTGCTTCCGAGTGGATGGCTAAATCAGAGGAAATCTTAGCAGGATATCGAAACTTCAAATAAGCATCCTGGATGTTGTTGATTTCACTGACAATAGTATTGTTACTAGCATGTATTTACCCGTCTGGGATACTGCATATGATTTCTACCTAATCGAATTTCATGAAATCAAACAAAGGTAAACAACTTTCGAGCTCCTCTTGTTCCTTCTTGTATGAATCCTGTTATTGTAGTGATCCCACCAATTAAAGACTCGGGATCTCACAGCCGGATGTTGGCCGACTCGGCACAAGGGATGGACGTGGCTGGCAAAGTTCGAGGCCTTACCTGCGGGCGTACAACAACAAGTGGATTGATCCAATAGGCTTCCAGATTTCAAACCTGACAGATCTGATCTGGCTTTTGCCTTCATACCATTTGCATATGATAACATCATGTTTATGCAAAGAATGAACATCCAGCCAGTTTTTTTCAGACGAGCAAACCTGAAAATGGGTTTGATTCCAGGGTTATAAACAAGTCGTTGTCTCGTCAATATCTCTCGCAAGGAAGATCATTTATCGAAGTGCTAATCTTTCAATCTATTGTAACGCTTGATGTTCGCCGGTTTCTAGACTTGTTTCTCCCGGGTAACCGATAGGAATTCACCTTACTTACATTCCTCATCAACAATGCGTGCTTCTAGCAACGAATATCTGGGCGAATGCCTTCCTATCGATAATGATATGATAGCGATACATCCACACGATGATTCATGCAACGGCTGGTTACTATCTTCATCTACGATGGTCATCTCAAAGTCAGATATTAGGAGAGCTTGCGATAGCTCTTCAGCTACTTTCAATAGCTGGTCGAAGGGTCACGAAAGCTCAGCACAAGAATCACAATCACAATGTCAGGGTTCAGCAAAAGGTTGGCAGCGACTTTCCCTCGTCGAAACGGACCCAGGGATGATGGAAGATCTCTTTGAAGCGTCAGACTCCGAGTCTTTCACTGATGATGATCCATCATCATTTTACTCCTCTTCAACCTCAAGTCATCCTCCGGAAGAGGAAGAAGAGGTCTGGAATCGTTATTTTCACGCAGAATCAGAATGTCTACCACCACCTCCACCTCCGCCGCCGGTACCTCATCGTGTCTACTCACTATTTCCCACCACAGTTCCACAATCACCTCAAGCACACAATCAACATTCAACTCACAAATCATGGCCTACACAGGCTTGGCCTGAACGGCTCGACTCCCGTCCCAATCGTTCTAACGGTCGCGCTCGCGCGCAAACTACACCTTCCCAACCCAACACGCCATCTAATCTCAGTTCTTGCACAAGTATCAATCAATCAGTCCCTGGGTCATACGTTCCGGCCAGCTACCGTCATACTCATCCCCCTTTGCCTCACTACAACTCTTCCACTCCTCTGGTTTTGAAGTCCGAATTCGAAACCGACTCCGATGACGAAGATGAGAACTCTCCTAGTAAGATGGCCAAAGCCATCGAGGAGATGTTTGAAAAATTCCGATCGAACGGTGGAGGCTCAAACAAGAATGGCAGCGAAGAAAGGACCAGAAGATCAGGCGGATTCAGGAGAAGCGCAAGTGAAGCCTGTGAGGCCGTCAGAGGAATCTTCAGTAAGAAGTCACACGTACCTCCCGAACGACGCCTTTCATAAACGCTAGCAAAATGAACATTTCTTTTGTGCGAATGGTTTCCGGGATGATTGATGATCATGATTGTGTGTTGGAATGAGGTATGAAAACTAAACTGGGCGGCTTATATATTGGTACATGTACTTTTCCTTTCGTCCACTTACTTGGCTACACAAAAAATCGGGTTAGAAAAAGAGAGTGCTCATGGAAATATTTGTATTGGGTTTAAAAAGTTGGCCGATGGGAGTTTATTGGTTTGTACCAATTGGTTAATGGGATTGATAGCTTCCAATGACACTACTATGGTGTAGAGGGTAATGGACTAAATGGAAACATGAAGAAAATGGGAATGGGAACATGATGGTTATGACTTGATGACGAAGGCTACGAGAAGAGATAATGAACAATATTTTTACAATCCCATGATTGGAAATGTGTCTTGACAATTGCTCTTTCGATTAATGCTCTACATTGAACCAAATCCCCTTCCTATTGTATTCATTCCATACAAACAAGAAACGAAGCTATGTAATATACTCTCAGCGCAATTGACAACATCTTCACTTCATTTCACTTCTATTGAAATATAGCTTACAAAAACAACACAGGAGCTGAAAAACATCAAGTCAGACACACGGCTCCGAGTTCCAAAATGTGATAATGAATGTGATATATATAGTAAATGTGAGTACCACGTGATAATCACATGTCTGTCAATCTCGTATTCGCCAAAAGTTTCACTCTTTAACGACGATATTTTTGAACATCGGCTTGTTTACTGAGTTAAGTGTGTATTGTTTTTTGGTTGAGGATTTGTGTCTTGTTTGGAGATTGCGGACTTTGATGGTGGTATTGTTAATTGAATGTGTGAGGAGATGAGGAGGATATTTAGTTGATTAGAAGTGCTATCCATGGATGTAGTGTGCACCCATTGAATCTTTGCGAACGCTTTCTTTCGGAATACTTCTGCACTGTCAATTCTATGAATGGAGAATTGCTGAATTTTTTTTAGGAATTGGTCAATGCAGACTCTATATGTTTTGATGATGGGATAGTAATGTTGGGAAGAGATGAATGTTTTATGGAATTGAGATGCGCTGGTACCTCAACTCAGATAGTTCTGAAATGATGTGAATGGTATTTTGTGTGTTCAAAACTTGCTTCGTTATACTTGTGGGAAGATATGAATAGGCACAATATCTCACATCTCATTTTCATGATGAAAACTGCATTTTTGAAGTTTCGATTCTAGGAGATCGTTATCAAGGAATTTGTTGGTCGACAATGCTTTACCTGTGTGGAAGAGTGTGGATGGTGGCAAGAATATCAAGAGATAAGTGGTATAGCTACCTTATGGATGTGTATTTTTATATCACACCAGAACGGGGCTATGTTCTTATCATGAAGTCTGAGTATCACTGAGTTGAATCCTTTCCCTGGAAAATGTAGCAGGTGTTCTTTGACTTTTCATAGTCATCTTCGATGAAGATCATTTTAGCTTTCTCTGTGGATTTTGAAGAGACCAAGGATTGCGAACGTGGCATTATAGATCACGATACACTTCACATGTTCCTCAAGCCAAGTTGCCGATGATCGTTCAACACGAGAGGCTAAATCTTCACCCAATATCAAGGCAACTGTGTCAAAGAGAGTCTCTATCCGGGAATAGGTGTATGCTACGATGTGGAATTCTTTCGCTGTACGCTTCTTGGAGTTGCAAAGAGACCTCGTTAGTCAAAATTGCCATTACGATTGACCAAACACGTGGGTTCCTGTCAGTATTGCTGGTATTGAATAACTAGTTGGAGCGAAGATCAGGTAGGGAACTCTTCTTTCTGCAGAGGCATTTAAATATGAGGCTGGGAGTGGAGATACTTGGTGTTCTAAGCGTAAATGTATTGATTTTCCATGGGTAATTGATGAATCTTGATTACTGATTGGGGCTTTGGTCAGATGATTGCATGTCCTCGCTCGATTACGGTTGTTGTTGTACGAATCCGACAACGAAGATTTTACTATGCCTTGCTGTTAAGTGGTCGTTATGCATGAATCTTCGGCTGCTTTAGACCTCATCTCTTACCCCTCACCCCTCACCTCTCGCGTTTCCTCCCAAAGACTTACTCCAATTTGGGATCATGCAATTAGGACCGATATAAGTTCAGCGAGTCTATTCGATTTCTCGAAGCACAGAAACCAGTGGAGATTCTGGATTTCCACCGACTGCGCTTGCAAGACTATTTTACTAAAATAATGTTGAGTCAAACGTTTGGAAGCCGGAAAACGTTTTATACATATGCTTTGGTTGATTCCCCCACAATCTTTCATTATTCAACGGCTTTTTATAGCACGCCTTATAGGCGACATCTTTTTGATTTGACATTCCACGTAAAAAGCCGCGAATTTAATGGGCCCAAGGAAGCATGGCTCGCACAAGAAACGCATGCTTTCATCCGATCTACCATTGACGACAGGCTATTTTCGTTAATCACTCAGGAGTCAAAAAATTAAAATTCTCACCCACTTTTTAAAAGAAGCGGCCCGCCCATAATTTGAGTACACGCGTCGGGGTTGGAAATCCAGGGTCTTGGTGCCAAAGGATTGACAATGTAAGAGATACAAAGCAAGGATAGATCACCAAGTGGTTGAAGCGTTGTTATTTTGATTTTTTGCTCATACCCACATCACCTCAGATCAGAATCTCTATAAATTAATCACCGTTTGAGATTATCTAGGGAGGCTATGGTAGGTATATATATGGATAACTTACCAACCAATTGGTTCGATTATTACAAAATTTGCGTCGTGGATAGGGCCATTCATTGAGGAAATCGCGTGACAGCCGAGTATGATTGAGCAGCGCTGCGCTACCAATACACGACATTTGTTTCGTTTCTTGAGATGCATCTAGGAACGTTGGTGTGTTCTGGAAGTACCGGAAGTGTGGAGCCGGTTTCTCTCAATAGAACGTTTGATCGATTATTCCTTGGGTATTCTGCGATATAAGGGATCTCATTGATGTTTCGAATTGCTTGATTTCTTTTTTGGTGGACTTGTGGATCTTCATACAGTCCCGCAAGGATAGAAATTGGGGATATTCCCACTCCTATCGATCTCCTGTCTTCATCAAGTAACAATGCTTTTTGGAATTTGTTTCAGCACTTCTCAATCATGGGCCCCTTACGACGCAGGTGGAGAAAACTTAAATACCATCATTCTATCTGTATGACATCAATTTATCTAAGTCTGACAATAATATCTAGCGCAAATGAAGGTCTTATGCTGCCAGAAAGAGAATCTATGCGAAGGAATTGGCTACCGATCTCTGGTCTAACAATCGCTCTTACGTGAAACCTTTCATTTTGACCTAATGAGCGTTTAAATGTTTCGAGCTTACTACACTTGACAGGTGTGATGATAGGGTAAGGTTTTCCCAAGAACGATGATAAGCGCCAATAGGGCTTCTCAGCCCATTTGGCGCCAATTTATATACCCTCGCTCCTAGGCGCCCCGCAAAGTTTAATTCCTTCCACAGTGCCCCTCGACTAGTTTCAACATTAAACGCAGCACATATGACAGCAACAGTTTACGATTCGTCCAATCAATCCACCGTGTGCTATTTCCCCTCAATTATCCACTTCACGACAAGATGTGATCGCAAGTGGTGAGGATGAATGAAGAAGAGGCTCAATCAAGGATTTCTTCCGCGCTGACTGACATTTGAACATTGATGCGGCATTGTTATGCCGTAACTATGAGATAAAATATGCTATTAGAGCAAGGCGTAATCAAGTAATGTGAAGAAGTGGAAGGGACTTACTCTCCCTGGATATCATTTGTGCGAGTGAGACAATTCCTCTTTCCGTACCTACATTCTTTGAAAAATTCCATTGTTAGTAGCAACGGGAAATGCAAAATTTCACTCATTCCAGACTTTTCCATTATTGTTTCACGCGTCCATCTTTCTCTGATTGTCCAACGATTTTCTTTAATGAAAAATCGATTTCGTTTGGAGATTTTCATCAGTTTGAGACTTTGGCCCGAAGCTCGAGGATTGGCCTGGGCATCGGTGCCCATTTTTGGTCTGTGTAGCGCTTGCTTCATGAGGCTGCGCAAAATAGCTGTCCACATTAAATTTGAATTCCTTTGAGATATTGGCAAGCGCGATGGAACTGGGTCCATTTTTATGTCGTCGTTGAGTTACGATCTTATATTTAAGAATTCGTTCGTCGCTTTGAAAAGACCTGTCCTGTGCTATACTTCTACTTTGTACACGTTGCTATTAGTTAGTTACTCACCATCGATTTCTTTCACTGTCGGGAATATTTCAAAAACGCCATCACGGTACAAAGAAAACAATAAGCCATATATCGGACGGTATTTTTAAACCTTTTACCCCTCACTCCGATCTCGAGACAACCCAGAAAAATCGAATAAACAATCACCGCCACTCAACATCATCAAAAATGGATGACATCGAAATTATCTCCGGCTTCTTCGTCGTCAATTCTGGAGTATTATTGTTCGTTGCTTTTCTGATCATTGTATCAGTTCTACTCAAGATTTGGACGACTCTTAGAGCATTACCTACTCTAAAGGATTTGGAAATGCAGAGGGCCGCTGAGTGGGCTTGAGGTTGAGGCGCATTTTGAGCGACTCCTTCTAGAATATGAATGCTCGTTGCCTTTTATCAGCTTTTTTGCAAGATCTTCGATTCCAACATCCTGTGGTCTTTCTGAGTTTCAGCTTCTGGACGAGGGCGCAGTTCACCTAGCTTATGTATCGCCGATGAGTTTCAGATCTCTATCCAAGATGTCTGGTGCGGGGTAGCAACGACTCATTAGATATATTTTGTCCACCTCAATCTTCGGTCGAAGCAAATATCCTCAACAAATGGACTTGCAGTGCTGTACTGCCGCGAATGAGATAGGACTGGTCTAGACTCCGGTTATGGCAGTAAGGACCGTGAGATTCGAGACGAAATCCTTCAATGATCCATAAGAATAGCCAGGTTTCTATTACATCAAATGCGTTTGGGTTCGGTCGTGATAGCGCGTAAGTTGGTCTTGGCTCACTATCCTTGTTCTGGATTTCGAAGGACTTAGTAGGGGGCCGTTTCGCATATCGTCATGACAGCAAACATCTCTTCGCGCCGCCACATTATTTTACTCTTGCCGCAGATCCTTCATATGAATTTTCTTTTCGACGCGAAAGTGAACAATCAATTGAGCGACCGATTGAACTGTTGCGGTTACAACTGGAAAATCACAAAAATTTGCCAAATTGCTACAGACATGAAGATGATGTTTCAAGGTTGTGTCTATTTCAAACATACGCAAACATGACACAAACTTCAATTTCAGAAAGGAAGAAGTGTCTGCTATACGATCAAATACTTCAGAAGAGAGTATTGAGACGGCCATTACCATAATCAATCGTTGATAAGTTGTCCTCACGCGGATCACTTCCAACTCTTCTGCTCGACAAACACCACAGATGTGTTTGAAATCAGGGCTTGTGCGGATTGTGGAGTTACAGAAGATTGGGGAAGGAAATGCTGCCTTTGAGGTTGGGATGTGCAGTCCTTGCTTGAGACACTAACCTCCTCGGGAGGAGTCGCGGATGGCTTAAAAACCTTGGGTCTCTTAATGGATAGGAAAGGGTGCGAGTAGCACGGAGAAATAGGGATGGCTTGATAGTATACACAGTATACTGTATAAGAGGTAGCAGATGAATCTCAATTTACAACAGACTGTTAGCTAGACTTTTTCTTTTGTCAAAATCGAGAAATACAAATTATTATAAATCAATTAGACGTTATCCGCTTCTCATACTTTCACACTATGTATGGTATTACTCTCTCACTCTTCGTATGTTTTCCTCTGTACATTGCAGTATTTATCACAAAACTGAATAGTACGTGGTGATACAACCAGAACCAGGATGTCTATTCCAGGCTGCCAATTCGATGACTATCCATCTTAGCTAGAAACTTTCACATCATCTCTCTACTCCATCATTTGATAAGTAGATAGTCACCTATACTCAACATCCAATATCCAAAATTCAACATCTTTCAACCATTCAAAACAACATTTTCCACTCCATAATCTCCATCTAATTTATCATCTATCATCCATCATTCATTATTCATCATCCATCATCTATCATCCATCATCTATTATCCATCATCCATTATTCATCATCCATCATCCATTATCCATCTTCTTCATTATTCCCCACCCCATTTTCATCCACAAGAATAATAGCATATAAATTCTTCCGCGTCTAAATCCATAAGCTATAAATCCGCATTATCTACGCTTTTGGATTTATGACATAAGGAGCTGAAGTTGAATTAAGTATACTGATTTTTCGAGATGCAATACTTGTGATTTTTTCTCGCTGTCTCTTTTTCTAAATCGAAGATATAACCTTATATCGGTTCGAGGATAGTGAATTGATTACTAGGTATGTATCTCTGCTGAGATGTAAGAAAGTATATTTTAGGAATTCAGGAAATGAAAGTTTAGAGTTTCTAGATATCAAGTTAACGGATTTGTAGATTGTAAATCCGGAGATATTGATGGTGCTTATGGATATTTACAATAACAAAATTGTATCGATTTGGTTAATACGTTGTGAATACATATGGGGACCCCTCCTTCTCATTTCGCGAGGCTAGGGTTATTATTTGTTTTGTTATATTGATTATTTTATGATGCTCATCAGTCAGTACCTACCTATCTTTCTATATTCGTCTAGCTTATAATCTATTCAGCTAAGAATGTAAACATACCAACATGTTTCTGAATATAAGAGTGTAATGATTAGATTTCCTTCAGAGGGGTAGAATGATAACCTTAAACAAACACGAAGACTTCAACTAACCTTACAGGATCCGACTCTGTGGCTAAAATTGAGGAATGGTGATTAGGTCGATAGACTTGGCTACTCGAAATATTTAGGGATGCAGAAAGAACGGCCAGTCAAGATGATGATCAAAAGAAAGATGTGCTGGAATGCCGAAACGTATTTATTGAGAGCTCGTACGGTCTGCGAGGGTGTGGATGTTTTGTGTATTCTGGATATCTTATACGCAAAAAGGGATAAATGGATGATGGAGAACAAACGAATATGATACTTGTCAATATCCGGATCCTATCTCACAATTAGGGACAATAACTACAGTCTAAATTGATCGATCTAGCTCGCGTGTGTATGATGAATTTGTGTGCAAGTACCTATTCAGTCGATTAATGTTCATTCATGATATCATCTCCAGGCCCGCGGGACATCCATCTATTGTTGAATTTCTGCCCCGAGACCAAAGATTGGACATTCGATAGGAACGCAAAACGAATGGACAGATATAAGCAAGCTCTGCTTTTGAATCCCATCACATTACCATCTCGTCCTTACAAGATGACGAAATTATTGCTGGAGCCATATTTAATCATGATAGATACGTATCCCTACTTGTACAAGATGATACATACAACTTTCCCACGCCATTGCGCCAAACCCTTACATTATCACGCATATCAAAGACTCCCCTGAACCGAGCGATTAATTATCTTCCACCCACTGCTCGAGCCGCTCCATCAAATCAGCTTTCTTCCCCGCACCGTTCAACCCCTTCGCCAATAACCAATCCTTCAGATCAGCCACCTTGAATTTCTCCAATCCTCCATTCGACACCAAATTGCTCAACTCCTCTTTATCCAACTCTCCTAGTTTCTTAGCCGAACTTTTTACCAATATCTTTTTCTTCCTCGGTCCCTCAGGCTCATCAATTCCCTCATCACGCTCTCTTTTCAACGCATTTCCTTTTTCACTGCACCATTTCTCGTATTCAGAAGCTAGAGTTTGTCCCCAGTCGCTAATATATGCTCCGCATCTCTTCTCTATCTGTCTGTACTTGGGTACTGTTTTATCTTCAGGGGTGTCAGGAACATCTTCTTCTAGCGCCATAGCTTGGAGAATTCTGTAGTGCCATTGTAGACTTGGGTTTGGGTAGTTCCTTGGATCGTATTGAGCTTTTGGTAATTGTAATTGTTGTACAACGACGCGCATGTTGTCGATGAGTTCATCTGGTGCAACGATAGGAGCTGGCGCTGCTACACTTCTGAGGTCATCAGCAAAAGGCATAGGATAGAGCCATAGACCGGCGGGGAAAATCTGCTGATTTGTGGCAGGATCTAATTTTTCAGCTGAGGGTAGGATAGCGACAATGCCGGGATTAGCATTTTTGCGAGCGATGTACCATCCTAATCCCATTTTCTTATCTTTGAGAAGTTTTTCCCATAGAGCAGAGAAAACCCGAGTCGAGCCAACATAGTCGGCTTCACTTGGATATATAAATGTTGATTTATGCACAGATGCCCAAAATGGTAACATAGATTGCGGCTTGAAACCAATGATGCGAAGTCCTGGATGTCCGAAATCCTTCAATTGCTTTTGCTCGTCCGGAGTAAAAAGAACTTGTGAGCCGCCAAATTGATAGGCCTTCTTGATTTCTACCTTCTGAATAACACGAGCTGTGTCTTCGGCCATTTGCGTCGTTTCTAATGTTGGCTTTTCTGGGACTTCTCCTCCCATCCAAACGAATGTACGTCTAGCTGGAGTTTGTTTGTGGAGAACGTTGTATCCATTCACAGATATTGTGAGATTAGGTCCTATTTCGAATGGTAGATTGGAGAATAGAGATCTTTTGGCTGCTTGCTTCGAGTTTATGTCCAAGATAAGATTGTTTAAAAGAGACAAACCATCGCCATTAGATTTGAGACTATTCGGACCAATATTGGGTGGATCTTCAGCGAGCGGGTCACGATAAATAATATCCTATACTCCAGTTAGCTGAAAGTAACGAAAGTGGAGGGGACTTGGTTATCTAAACATACATCATAGAACTTAGTGCGATCAAACTCATGGTCACGAGTCGATATTGGAAACAGTTCAATGACAACGCCAATATCATAAAGATCCTTAGCTCGAACTGCAGCCAATGATTTTTGAGACTTATCTCCAGAATGTGGATCATCTTTGTCGGTTATAATGAACAATCTTCTTGATCCGAAATTTGGCGCTCTTGTTGTGAATATTTGATTGGCACAGAATAACAAGTTATTCATATCTAAAGTTTCCTCCGTGGGAATCAATATTTTGTTCGCTTCCTCTTCATCTTCGACAATCTCCTTTAATGCCTTGACATCCTGTGCAGATGGTATATCAAGATCTGTGAGAAGATAGCAGTGAGGATACACCGAGGTGTCCAAGCCGCTTTGGTCTTTGAACTTTGTCTCTTCTGTGCCATATAACATGATACCCATCATATCCTTCGGGCTGGAGATAATGCGCTGTTGCATAATCATGTGTGCGCACTTAAGAGCCGCAAGCGTGGGACTATCTGTATCGGCTTTCTTTGAATCGGAAGGTGGAGGAGGAGTAAGCATCGACTCGCTAACATCAATGACGAAAAGAACTGCATCTTTTTGTGTACGATAGTCCTAAGGGTAGGTGTTAGGGTCGATTGGATCTGGAAGGAGGTATAAGAAACCTACAATCTCATCAGCTTCCTCCTCTTCTTCCTCTTCGTCTTCTTCGCGCTTCCACTTTTCTGAATCTGCCATGTTTGTTTGTCTCGTTCGAAAGTAAAGGGAATAAAATGAGGATATAGACTCTAGATCAATGAGTTCCTACACATCAGAATCTTGACAGTAAATGGATATTGATTGGAAATACACTACAGTAAAGAATGATGATATGTGAGGATATGTAATGGGGATGTGGGTGGGGACTATGGAAATGCTCAAACGATCAGGCAGACGCGTTGAACCGCGGAAGTGGAGTATCCATCAGATACGCTAGAGTGCGTTGACACGTGATAAACCCATTCCAAATCTCTCCACACTGATTGGCTTAAAGACATCGGCATCTCAAGAGGTCCGTCGATCCAAGCATCATGTTAATCCTTGTTCATATTCTAGCAATCGGATGAGAGGGAAAGTTGTCTTTACAAATTATAATATATCTCCGCTGAGAAAAGATAAAATCTTACAAAATTAATTCTATGAGTTTGATGCTCAATTTGTCCATTGAGTGATAATCGTCTTTCTTTTCTGTCTGAATACCTCAAGATGTCTTTTAGAACTCCAAAAGCTGTAGGCCAGCTTACAAAACGAGCTTCACAAGCTACCATTTCTCGCCTCACCAGTAATACTTCTCCTGCGACAACATCATTATTGCAGAGGAACAGCGCAGACCAATCCAGATCTTTTGCGACTCCGGTACCGCCGGTAACACAAGATGCCACGGGAAGGAGAGGACCAACGGCAATGGTGCTCATGAATATGGGTGGCCCTCAGACTACAGATGAAGTTGGGGATTTCTTGAGTAGATTATTTGTATGTTACTTGTGTAATCCCGCCACCATCCTCACCTCTGACAATTTCCCTTACAGGCAGATGCCGATTTGATTCCTCTTGGACGCTTTCAAAACTATGTTGGCCCTCTGATTTCGAAACGTCGCACGCCAAAGATTCAAAAACAATACGCTGCCATTGGTGGCGGTTCCCCAATTCGAAAATGGTCAGAATATCAAGCCGAAGAGATGTGCAAGTTATTGGATAAGATGTCGCCTGAAACTGCTCCGCATAAACCTTACGTAGCATTTAGATATGCAAACCCACTCACTGAAGAAATGTATAACAAGTTATTGGCAGATGGGTTTGGTGGCGGAAAAGGTGGAAGAGCCGTGGCATTCACACAATACCCTCAATACAGTTGTTCGACTACCGGAAGTAGCTTGAACGAATTATGGAAGTGGAGACAAAGGCTTGAGGGAAAGGCAGCAGGAAGTCCAAATGGTAGCGATGGAACAATCGATTGGAGTGTAATTGATAGATGGCCAGCTCACCCAGGTCTTGTTGAAGCTATTGCACAAAACATCGAAGCTACTTTGGCGACATACCCCGAGAAGGATAGGAAAGACGTCGTGTTACTGTTCTCAGCCCATAGTTTACCAATGTCGGTGGTTAATAGAGGTACGTCTGTCGAAGTTGTGAAAGGAATAGGTCGCTAACTCTTTTCAGGTGATCCATATCCAGCTGAGGTTGCTGCTACAGTCTACGCCGTGATGCAAAGATTAGGTCACTCTCATGCATATCGACTTTGCTGGCAATCACAAGTTGGACCTAGTGCATGGTTAGGAGCTCAAACAAGCGATACCGTGGAGGAGTATGTTAAGAAAGGTCAAACGAATCTCATACTTATTCCTGTCGCATTCACATCCGACCATATCGAAACACTTTATGAATTGGATGAAGAAGTCATTGGAGAGTCCGGCCACAAAGATACCATCAAGAGATCCGAAAGTTTGAATGGTTCTCCAGTATTCATCCAAGCACTAGCCGATATTGCTAAAGCTCACATGGATAGCGGGGTGGCTTGTAGTGTTCAAATGGGGCTAAGATGTCCTGGATGCAAGAGTGAGAAATGCGGCGAAACTAAGAAATTCTTTGCTGGACCCGAGAAAGCATTAGCCGTTTAAGGAAAGGGAGAGATGATGGTTATGAACATGTATTATAATAGATCAGTCAATTAGTGTACAGCCAATTATGAAGCGGTTTTGAGCGGGATGCATATGTTCAGAAGTCCGCGTCGGTATCAGGGACAATATCATGCCGATTTTGGTCGCTAACCTAACTGATACACTCTGGCGGGTCACTACATGATGTGGGACTCTTTAGCCACCACTTACTCCGTACAGAGTAGCTCCTCAGACGTCACCATCTAGACAAGGCATCGGCTGGCGAAGAGGAACTAGTTGATGTGAAAATGAAACAGAGAAGAGTATAAATACAAGATTGATAGGTAGCTAGGTAGCTAGGCAGCTAGGTAGCTTTCAAACCCTCATAAGACAAAAGATCAACCTATTGATTTTCCGAATATTGCTTCATTGATGAATGTATATATCTTCTATCTGATATAATCGCCCACCAACCCAACCGAACTGATACCTCGGTAGTATTGTACGGTTTACAGTGAATATATATGTGCGATATGTGCGATGTGAACAATAGATGCAGCATGTGTGTTGGTATTGGTAGATACCTACATCCATGGATGCCTTTTGAGTGTGGCTTTGAGCACACCTAGGTACCTACCGAGTTATCTAGATAGTGATGAAGTCATCGAATAAAGATGTCCATCACAGAACACACACACGGAGTATCGAATCCCCATCCCCGAATAAACATTTTTGATGTCTTGAACCAATCGGACAGTGGGAACCGCGATTATCAATCAAGAAATCTCCTTTTATTGCATTCCTTCCATTCTTGAAACAATGTGTTGTAGTAAGATTACTTGGTAAGTAATATGTAGGTATTCGAACTATTAATTTGCTGGGGGTTTGATATGTATGTTATGTTGTTGGAAGTCGCCTTTGGTTATGTTTCCGTACCGAGTTCATATTGCTAATATATCAGTTCATGTCGTCATGTATGATCTACCTTGCGATAATTCGGGTGTGGGCGATAGATAGACAAGACAGCATCGGCTTCCTTTTATTCTCGAACTTCATTCTTTCATTACAGCAAGGAACAGAGTTCGAGACCTTGAGAATCACTATTTGATTGACAACCGTGCGAAGAACCTTAAAAGAAGTTATTATCGTGGATTATCTCCTCTACCAGTCTACCTATCACCCAACGCGCACAAACAGAGCCAGGCCTGCCCACTTTTCTGCTTAACTATCTTCCTATCTTGGGCAAGCTGGATTAGATGATAAGCTTGGGTTTGCTTCACTCTCATTTCTAATCAATTATTCCTTTGGGTATTTAACATAGAATCTCCTTCAGCCTCTGCCAGTATTTACATTACTGGCACGAGAAATCACTGTCAACAAATTATCCTACCTGGTTGCACCGACGTCACTGTAACTCAATGCCACAATCGAACTTATACTGAGTGGCGATACAACGATAAGATGACGATGAGAATGGAGAACGAACATGCAGACCAACGGCCAGAGGAGCCAATGACCATTTGGGGCGCGATGACTGCTTTGAGGAGGCATACGAGAGTTCGCAAATCGATTTTAACACCGGAGTCTGAGACAGCCCCATTACTGGGCAATGAGAGGACACACGAGGGGCAAAGTAGTGGAGGGAGTGAGGAGACATCATGGGAGGGGCATGGAGATTTTGCGGGGTTAACGTGGTGGCATAAACCATCTGTATGTTCTATACAATCTCTCATTGCTCAATATATACTAATATGTTTGTTCTCAGGTATACTGGCTCTTGTTTCCATTCTTCCTATTAGCTCTCGCAGTTGGTGGAATCATCGTCCCAAAACTCAATCTTATCCTCGCTCTCGTATGTCGATCGTATCTCGCAGAGAGATCCTCCCAAGATCCAAACTTCCTTTTCGCACCTGTGTTGCTCGGATCCGACAATCCGCAATGCAGGATTCCTGAAGTGCAATCGATGGTCACCAAGTTCATGTTGGCTATCACGGTCATTACTGGAATCATCAGCGCCATTATGTCTCCAGTACTTGGGGCTTGGTCTGATCGATATGGAAGAAAGAAGATTCTGGTAATTTCAAGTTTTGGTAGTTTCTTGACAGAAATTGTTACCATTCTTGCTGGAAAATATCCAGATATTGTTTCATACAAGTGGCTGCTGGCCGGTGCCGTGTTTGACGGTTTTTGCGGTTCTTTCATTGCGGGAATGGCACTCACTCATGCATATGCTGCAGACTGTACCGCTCCTCCTAAAAGGGCGGTAGCTTTTGCCTATTTCCACGCCTGTTTGTTTTCTGGAATCGCTTTTGGTCCTCTGCTTGCTGCAGCATTACTTCGCTTAACCGATAGCCTACTCACGGTATTTTATGTCGCTCTCGGCATACATACTTTCTTTATTCTTTTCTTACTCTTCGTAGTACCCGAGTCACTCACTCAAAAACGTCAAGAGATTGCTCGTGAGAAGCATGCTGTTGAAGGTCTGCTTACAGCCAATCAAACTTGGTTGGGTTCACTGATAAGCAAAAATCCTCTTGCAACTCTCAAAGTTTTGTGGCCCACTGGTGGCGGAAATACCAAACACGTCCGCGCAAATCTTGTTCTACTTGCAACTGTCGATACTATCATCTTTGGCGTTGCCATGGGGGTCATGACTGTTATCATTTACTACTCAGGCTTTCAATTTGGATGGAAGACTTCCGAGACAAGTCTATACATGTCAGTGGTCAACAGTACTCGAGTTTTTACACTTGTCGTTATCCTCCCTATTTTCAATTACCTCGCCCGGACTATACCTCGTAGAAGACAGCGCAGAGAATCGGGGCTTGTCATTCCAGAAAATCACTCTGGCGCTGATTCAACAGATCTGATTGTTATTCGAATTTCTATTATTTGCGAAATTATTGGATATTTAGGATTCACAGTAGCCCGGAGTGGCCCGCTTTTTGTGGTATCTGGAATCATGGCTTCGATGGGTGGTGTAGGTTCTCCAACATTACAATCAGCATTAACCAAGCACGTACCCCACGATCAAATTGGTCAACTTTTAGGGGCTACTGGTTTATTACACGCGTTGGCAAGAGTTGTTTGCCCTACCATTTT